GCATTTGCAGTTTTGTAATGATGTAACCTTATGCCACCATTAACCGATATCAGGTCACTAACCAAGGGTGCCAAGGTTAAAGGGGACTATAGCAGGCCCACCTTCTTTGCTGTAATCCTCAACTTCTCATCCTCCATCAGCTCACCAATCATTTTCTGAATCTCTTCTTGCTTCACTAGATTCTCAATACCCCAACCCCAACTGCTCTCCCATAACCCAAGCCCCACCTTCTTCACAATTTCCGCATTCACCCTTTGGTCCCCATGGTGAGGCCATGCCAGAACTCGAATCCCATTACGAGCTGCTTCACTCAATGAGTTCCAACCACAGTGACTAACAAAGCCTCCGACGGCAGGATGTGCTAGAATCTCTTGTTGGTATACCCAACGCTTCACTACCATTCCCCTGTTCTTGGTATCTTCAAAAAAGGAATGACCTAATAGGGTGTCCAAATCTTCTTTGTCATCCTTGTCCACTTTGTTGCTTTTGAGAATCCAAAGAAAACGATACTTACTTTTCCACAAGCAGTCTCTCAGTTCTTTCATTTGATCTTTCGACATGGCTGTTCTGCTTCCGAAGCTCACGTAAACCACAGATTCTTTGGGTTGGACGTCTAACCACTGTAGGTATTGACACTCTTCATTCCTCTTAAGCTCATAAGGTACTAAAGGTCCTATAGGGAGGACAGGTGGAAATTTGGCGAAAACACTACCGCTGTTAAGTGCAGAAAGTGTTTCCGGTTCAAGCCAATCGAAGGTATTTATTAGAATTCCATCAACGCCCGGGAGAGCTCTTGCATTTGACATAAAGACCGATGTGAAGAGATGATTTGGGTTCAAGTATGGAGGAGGGATGCTTCCCACAGGGACTGGCCCTAGGCCGGGGATCTCAATTTCAGCAGAACAGCTAAGTTTGGTGGGATCAGATACCATGATCGAGATATATGCCGTCAGAGAAAGATATTTAGCAGAAAAGGTGACCAAAGTATAATGGGGAAGACCAAGATCAACAGCGACGGAAATGACACCAGCAGCTACTAAAATATCAGAAAAGATAGCGGATAGAGGTGGAGATAAAGAATATAGCAATGGATGGAGAAGATGTACAGAACGAAGAATGGTGTCGAACTGGATATGAAAGGGATCATTAGTAGATGAATTAGGAGGCTGTAAGGAAGGAAGTTGAAACGCAAGATGATTGACTTCTGGATGAGCTGAAACGAAGGAAGAAATATGTGCGGACTCTGCAACTGAGACCGAAGGTTTGGGAGTGATCAGAGTAACCTTACAGTTATTAGACAACAGCACAGAGGCAAGCCGCAGGAAAGGCGTTAGATGACCCATTCCAGCACTGGGGAAGAGGGCAATATGAGGGCAGATTGTCTCTGATCCTAAAACCTTCGACATTGTTGGTGGTAATCTAGGAATGGTTGCTACTCAAATAGAACTTGATTCTTCCAAGCTCATTTGGAGTGTATATAAAGAAACTGAAATTATATTTCACCAAACCTTCAAAACAACATGCAAACTGGACAGTCACCACGAATTTATTTTTCTTCATTACTCACTGTTTTTATATAATTTTCTCATTTTCAAATAAAAATGAGAATTTTTATTTATTTATTTATTTATTTTAGATCTTAAGTTACAAGATGAGAACCAGTCATGTTACATTCTTTAACCTCCTCCACCGAACATATTATGCAATTTCAATTCAGAATATCTTACTTCTACTTAATGAAAGGAGATTACAAAATTATTTAAGTTATTGACAAAATTTTTATTTAGTTGTCTCAGATTTTATTTTTATCATGTAATAAATACTATCATTTTATTTTAATTATAACTATATATAAAACTACTATCATATCAAATTTTCTTTTAAAAATTCGCATACATATATATATTTAATTGGCTTTAAAAAAATTTTAATAAATCTCCAATAAATTTTTTAAAAAATTCTCAATAAATACCCAATAAACTTTATAAAAAAAATATTTATTAAAAAGTAACTCAAATCTAACCGTTTAACGAGTTCGAGGGTTTACCATCTAATTTGTGTTAGAGGCTGATTTGCTATCATTTCAAAATTGGGGCTTAGTTTGCCCTTATTGTTTTTTTTTATATATTTTATATTTGAATTCCCTGAAGTTCTAATTGTTTAAATTTTTGACGTGTTTTTATTTCTAATTAATTTTATAAGTTATTAAAATGTATTGGGGGTGTTTGGTTGAAGAGGAAAGTTAACCTCAAATTTCTCTTTATTTGGATTTTTTAAGTTTATTTATGCATTTTTACACCTTAATACTGTGATAAAAAGAGGGAGAAATGATATATACACCCTTTCTTGTTACACCCTCCGTCATACACTCACTCCCTCTCCATTTCTTTTATTAACTCCAAAGGTACCGAGCAACTCTCCTCTCTTCACCCAACATTGGTTCTTTGATTTTCAACCTTCTTCCTTCTTTCCTTTCCTCCTCCTTTCTTTTTCTTCTTCTTTCCCTCTCTTCCCCTTTTCTTCCTTTTCTTCCGCCATCCTTAATCTGAGTTCTCAATTCTAGGAAGTGGATATTGGTTCTTCACTGTCACCTTATTTAGCTCTCGATAGTTAATGCATAGTCTCATGCTCCCATCTTTCTTCTTAACAAACCACACTGGAGCTCCCCCAGGTGACACACTAGGTTGTATAAATCCTTTTTCAAGGAGTTCCTCAAGCTGGACCATTAACTCCTTCAATGCTGCTAGAGCCATATGGTATGGGACTTTAGAAATAGGTTCGAAGCCAGGAACAAGATCAATAGCAAATTCGATCTCTCTATCCGGAGGTAAACTTGGGAGATCCTCTGGAAATACATTTGGAAATTCACACACCACAGGTATATCTTCTAATCTTGGCGTCACACTATTAGCATCAGTGACAGAAACTAGAAAACCATGGCACCCACTCAATAGATATTTCTGAACCTACAAGGCAAATATTAACATAGATGGGGAAAAAAAACCACTGCCTTGAAAACTAAATTTTGGCTCACCTGAAATATTGAAAACTACCCATTTTTTATGACAGTTTGTAAAGGCAAAATATTTTGACAACCAATTGATCTCCAAAAGGATGTCGAAGTCAGAGATATCCAAAACAAATAGATCAGCACTCAATTATCTACCACCAACATAAATATTTATAGCTCTACACACATCTCTAGTAGTCATCACCCCTCTTAAAAGGGTGTCCACATACAATTCAAGATTAGAGATATCAATAGATAAATTTTGTTTCCAAGCATAAGATCGAGCAATAAAAGAATGTGATGCACCCGAATCAAATAAAACATATGCATAATTGAAATTGACAGGCGAACTACCCATGATTACATCAGTAGCCATTGTTTCCTTATGAGTCATCATGTTAACTCTCGCTTGTTGGGTTCTTATCCTAACCTCGACATTTTGTTTCTGTGCCCCCTGATTAGTAGAATCTTGCTGAGATGTAGTTTGAGTACTCTGAGCTTTAGAGTCCGACTGCGGGCAATTTGCAATCTGATGGCCTTGCTTGCCACATTTAAAACAAGCCCCAGTAGCAGTGTGACACAGGTCGCAAGTGTGCCCAACTTTCTCACAAGCCCCAGTAGCAGTGTGACACAGGTCGCGAGTGTGCCCAACTTTCTCACAAGCATGGCAAGTAGGCTGAGCGGGACGAGCACGCTGAGCTACTAATGCTTGGCTTGCCGTCTTGATAACTCCTAGTTCTTTAGAAACCTTGTTAGTGTCAGACCTCTGTGGTGCAGGGGTAAAGGGTTTATGGCCCTTATCAAGTTTTCTCTTCTTAAAAAAGAGCCAACATCATGCTGCCCCAATGACTTGACCCTAGCCATAGCCTTCCCCTGATCTGTGTCTTGGTCCGTTGCCTCTCTATATGTGGTGGGTTTAAATTGGTTCACAGCCAAATATATATTAGAATTCAAGCCCTATAAGAATTTATCAGCCTTGGCTTGTTCATCAACAACTGGACTACCCACAAAGGGTAGATAATGATCAAACTCCTTCTTGTATTGCTCAACAGTATGTGACCCTTACTTTAAATCAACAAATTCCTTTCGTAATTCATGCCTTTTTCTATCAGGTATGTATTCTTGCATGAACACCTTTTTAAAACCATCCCAAGTACTCAATTCAGGTTCTCCTTGGTGTAGTTTCAAGAAATTTTCCCACCAAGTTAATGCTTCACTTGTGAGCATATAACTGCCCACATCGACCTTAAGGTCATCAATGACCATAGGCCGATTCCCCTCTCCACCTCGGTAATCCACGACCCAACCTGCTAAAAACCCACTGTACCATGAAATCTCTTAGTCATGACCTTTTAGAATTCTGTATAGATCTTCTAGCTAGGTACAATAAGAGTAGAAAAGGTAGGAGCAGGAGTTGTAGGAGTGGAAACCATTGGGGATGGAGATGGCACACTAGTGGTAGAAGATGCTTAGCATCTCATCTTTGCCATCAATTCTTGAACAAATGCGGCCATCTGTGGGTTATTTGCCCCTTCCTCTTGAGGAGCAACCTAGGTAGAGGGATTAGTAGCTGGAATTGGAGTGTTATGATCCTCTCGACCACTCCTAGGGCCATCTATAAACACATAGAAGGTTTATAGATGATTAATCAAGTGTCTCAATTGAGAAATTACAAGGCAATTTCCCACTTTCGAAACCAAGTAACATAATCATTAATAAATCCTACACACATTAAAGAAACTGAAACTTTTAACCAATATTCTAGAACAATTATTCTAATTCATCATAACACTAAATAGAATTCAAGAACCACATTATCCACAAGTCATAATTGAGTAACAAATCTCAATAATAACTCTATAAGAATTTTATACTCGAGGAACATCATGATCCATGAGCAAGGAAAATTTTAACGAGTCAAGAGTTCATTTAAGAAAGAATCAAACAAGCGCCCTTAATTAAGCCCCCCTTCATGCCTCACCACGTTCCTATAATTCATTTATTAGTTGCTAGCCAAGTTTTAAACTAGTCCTAGAAATTTAATTAAGCCTAGGCTCTGATATCACAAAATCTGTCACGTCCCAAAACTGGAAGTGAAACACACACCGTACACTTGTGAGGAACTCCCACAAATCTACAAGTTTTGAACCTACTTAAATCATATCTGGCAATTCACATAACTTAGATCCAAAGTCGCAAGTAAAATCTAAGTCTTCAATAACCAAGGTTTGGCTAGGCCAAAGTGTACAAAAATTTTACAGTTCTAATATTTAAGTCATAACTATCTCCAAAGGGATCTAGTGTCCAAAAGAATGATTAACTACCAACATATATGTCCAATAAAAAAGTATGGGACTAGCAACCTAACTCCACAACGACCTAAGCCCAAAATAAAGGTGGCTACCCTTCTAGCTCGTCACACCCCTCGGTTTCCTGCATCTCTGGGATTGTTACCTAAAATGGCGGAGAATGAAAAACTATAAGATATCTCAGTAAGTAAAATATGGATAATCCTCGTTTATAGTTAAACGTGCCATCAAGTATAATAAAATTTTAAGAAAAACAATACAAATACGAGAAATGAAATAGATGTCTCCTTTATAAGTCATGACCATCGTTTATAAACCTCTCATTGGTGGGCACAAGATTTGCTAGTGTATAATCCCACTAGCAGGAAAACAAGTATAATAAGAAGGTTAAATGCTAATTTTGGTCCCTTGACTTTAAGGTTTTGGACAATTTTGATCCCTTAATTGTGAAAAATGCACTTTTTTAGTTTTTCGTTAGTTTATCTGTTAAGTTTATTTAAATATACACATTTGTACTAAAAATGTGCATATATCAAAAGTTGAGGGACTAAAATGTGCAGATTTAGATAGACTTAATGGACTAATTAATGAAAGATTAAAAAAGTGCGTACAAAAGTTGAGGAATCAAAATTATGCAAAACCTTAAAGTTGAGGGACCAAAATTAGCATTTAACCTAATAAGAATGAACCGGTTCCATAAGTAACATGTCGACATGTGCTAGCGTTTATAAACCTCCCACTAGTAGGCACAAGCATTAGATGACCACATTGGAGACTAAAAACAAGGTAGAAAGTACATTTCAAGTAAATTCAAGAAAATATGTATAACAGGGAGCAAGTAACTTTTATAAATAGACTTGCTTAACCAATTGAAATCCAACTCGATAAAATAGGATTTAATCATGGTACTTAAGCCAAAATAGACTTTTAATCCTGCCACCATCTAAAAATCAATAAAAGTCATGGTTCAAACTTACATTTTAAAATAAAGGACAAACCATAACTTTACTTACCTCCCCTTGTCACTATACCGTAAGTTAGAATTCAAGTCTCAAGGAGGCGAAGGGTCTTAGAACCTATTTCATATCAAGAACAACAAGATCACAACATGCCTCATTCAACTAAATTGGTCTTTAATTCTAGCACCAAGTTCTAACCCAAAGGAACAATTTCTCCCTATCTCTTCTTGCCATATCTACCCACCAAAACCTTACTAGCATATGTATATTACTTAACATGCATAGCCATATTTAAAAAAATTCCAAATGTGGCAACATACATTCCAAAAATTTTCGGTAAATAACAGCAAAATTTTGGTAAATGGCAAGAAATTCTAGGGGAAATAGTGTAAAAAACAGCATGGAAAATGCAAAAAAAATGCGGAATCTTATGGGTTAAAATAGTGCAAAATACAACAAGGGAAATGCAGAAAAATGCAAAATTTTCTAGGCTAAAACAATGCAGAATACAGCAAAGGAAAGTGCAGGAGAGTGTAGGTAAATTCAAATTAGAATAAAGCAAGGATAAGTCTAGGAAAATGCAGATAAATTCTGCACCACAATAGGTACAAGTTATGGACATAAATAGCAGAAAGTTCAAGACAAAATAGTAGGAGAATCTAAGTAAGAATAGCAACAAAACTCCAAACAAATATAGCCACCGAATGGAAATTATTTCTTAAAACAGAATAGCAAAATTCAAGTGTGAGAACTACAGCAAAGTAAACATGATGGCGCTTGATCTCATACTAACATTTGTAGAAAAATATCAACACTACCTCAAGTTTAGAGGCAAGAAAAGCATAAACAAATTCCAAATTCACCTAACACAACATTGTCATGATCTTTCAAGAAGATAAAAAACAGAATACCCATAAATCCTATGCTATATCCCAAATCTAAAATGGTCAATTTTAACTAAGTCTACCAAAATTAGAGAAAGAAAAAGATTGGTTTCATGCTAACATCTTACTAGAAAATTATGAGTGAAAGTGGCGGTTCCTCTTAAAACGGGAACTCGAATGATAGAGATAGCCGAAACTTGGGAGGCCAGCGTTTGCTTGCAAAAAAGGGGAAACCTAGGGCTACCGAAGGTGACACGCAACTGCAGTGGGGTGGGGGGACAATGAGCTACTATTGAAAGGATTTATGAGATGTGGATGAAAGGATTTGGAGGAGCGGGATTGGCGATGGGAGTTGGTGAAGGATGGAGAATGGTGGTGACAGACTGAGGATGGTGGGGATGGGTTAGAGTTCCTAAAAATGGGAGAATTGGGAGCTTATACTCTTGACCCCCCCCCCTCCTTTTTTAAGCTCCACCCCCTTGCTTAGGTTTGAAATTTGTGACCATTAGGCCCTACAAAAGATAGTTTCTCCCACATAAGTCTCAAACTTAAATTTTAAAGTTTTAGCAAAATGTTGGGTTATTGCACCTACTAACAAGGACAACAATTGCACATTGAAAGCAAGCTTTTCAAATTATCATTCCTTCTCCCACCCATCTCTTCGTATTTCTTTCCCCTTTGTTGTTGCATGTAAGGGATTTGACAAAAGAAATGAAACATGTACGCATTACCATTTATGGAATGAGACAAATATCTACTTCTTTTTTTCATTTATTGTTTCTCTTTTTAACAACTACTCCATATTTTTCCTAAAGTGTATCTGCCATCATTCTGTTAGTCACAAAAGTTATCAATTTTGGGGTGACAAAGTTTTGGACAAGGTCCTACCATTGTCATGTTTGGCAAGATAATCTCATCAATCCACTAGTCTAGGCGTTGTTGAAGGCTTGAGGAAAAGGTTATAATAATCAGAATCTCACTTCTTTCGTCAGTTCACCAACCAACGAACTCAATTTTTCAAAAAAATCTTCTCATGTTCAAAGTTGGCCGTGTCAACCCTTGACTAGTCACTGACAGAAACAAGGTATGTTAAGAGATGGTATCACTAGAAAATATAATGCAAAGTGAAATAATGGTACATAAGTGTATTTATATTTTAACTTAGAATATGTCTAATATAAATAAAGAAAGAGAAAAAAAATTGAAATACAAAAATATAAGACACTAATACAAACACTCTCCAATTCAACACACTTATTAAAAAATTAGTATATTTTAGTATGGAATTAAAGGTAGAAAACTTAAAAATGAAACTATGCATACAACATGGAGGAACTACTTGAACTAGTTGCACCTAAATTGTATTTTAAGGCTGAACTACTTGGGTGTTGATGTGTTTGTTAAACCTGAGGGTTTTCAAATCATTTTTCAAAGGTTAAATTTCAATTTTAGTCTCTTAACTTTTAATTTTGAATAAATTTAGTCTCGAAATTATTTTTTTCATTTCTTTCATCCTTTGACTTTGAAAAATGCCCTTTATTAGTTTTGAATAATTTTAATCCCTAAACTTTTAATTTTAAATAATTTTATATATCATTGAATGATAGATTATATTTAAGTTCTTAAACAAAGGGAAAGGGAATGAAGAAGGAAGGGAAGGAAAGAGGACAAAAAAGAACCCAACTGACTCAAACCGTTCAAGAAGAAGATCGAAAGAGACACTACCAAGAAGACCTACTTTTCAAACCAAAAAATTGGTCTGAAAATATTGAAAATCGGTTTCAATATACTTATTTGAACAGCTATTGATCCAGATAGTCGATCCAAAAAACATAATCTGAATAACATAAACTTTTAAACAGATGAAAAGTTGGTCTGAATAAAATTAATTTTCAAACTGAAATCGGTCTAGATAAAACTTGAGAAAGGATGACATTTCAACCAAGATTTTAGATCGAGAATGGTTTGAAAATTGATGGCCTTATTAAAAAAAAAAAAATTTTTGTCGCTATATGGTACTATGCTAAATCTTATTTTGGACCGGTAATGGTCCAAAAATTGATGTCTCTGTTTACAAAAACTGAAAAAGTTTGGTCACTATGTGGTACTATGCTGAAACTATTTTTAGACCATTTTTAATTAGAAAATAATTGGACTCATTTGCGAAAAAGAAAATTTTGGTAGCTAGTTCAACATTTCAATCAAAAGTTATCCAAACCAATTACGGTCTGAAATATAACAATCTCTTACAAAATAATAATAATAATAAAAATAAATTTCTGTATTTCTTAATAAATTATATGTCTAAAAAATTCCCAAAAAAATAATTTTTTCTTCATACAAATAGTTACAAATTAAAAAAAAAACTAAAAGTAATATATTACATATTATATAATATTTACATGTCAAATATTTCTTAAATTAAAATTAAAATATACAACATATATTAAGTTAAAAATAAAACTTCAACATTCTAATTGAAATTATAAATAAAAATAAAACAAAAAATATTTAAATGCTTAAATACAATTACAATAAAAAGTTAATAAACATCTATAATATATACCACAAATAGAATAAAAAGTAATACTCACACCCATTTTACCTTGTAAATTTGATCATTTTCTACAAAAAAATAAAAGAAATGGAATTAGTAAAATAAAATGAAAATAGAAAAGCATTAAAACAAGGCAAATATATATATATATACATATATATATAGAGGCAAAATTTAGGATTCATCCGATTTTACAAAATAACCAACAAAAAAAAGGTTAGTAAAACAAGAAAAACTAAAATTAAATCCAACTATTAACATAAATTAATAACATAAAAAATATAAATTTTAAAAAATAAATATAGAAAATGTAGTTAAGAAGTACAAAGAGAAGTGAAAGAAATAAGAGGGAACAAAAGGGAACAAAACTAGAAGAAATAGGAGTAGTGAAAAATGATAGGAAGAACGAAAAAAAGGGAGAGGAAGAAGGGAACAAAGGGATAGGAAGAGAAAGGCAACACAAAGATAAGGGGAAGAAGAGAAAATAAGAGTATAAGAGAAAGAAGAGAGGGGAACCAGAAAATAAATGGGGAGGAGACGGATAGCACAGAAAAGGCAGAGAAGAAAATTCTAAGGAAAAGGGAGCAAACATTGAAATATATAGAACTTATTTTGGACCGTAATCCATCCAAAATAAGTGAAATTTAATTCTACTATACGAAATGTGAGGGAAATTTTTGGCAATTTAATATTTCATATCGCTATTGATCTGAATATTGTAAAAAATTTAAATTTTTCGTTCAAAATTTTTGGTAGAAAAAGAAATAAATATATATGGACCAATTGTGGTCCGTATATCTATCAAATAAAAAATAAAACACTTTGAATAAATATAAAAGATTAAAAGATTATAAAAAAAAGGTAGTATATATATACGAACTACTACTAGTTTAAATAACTTGTCCAGACCGATAGTCATCTGAATATGGTTGCCTAGAATCCTTTTCTTTCTCCCAAGACCTCAAACCATGCCTGATTTGTTTTACTCTCATTTGAACCACGAGATTTGAAAAGCCTAAATACCAAATTGCCTAACCTTAAACTTAATAATTTTAAGTCTATGTGTTTGTAGTTTTGTAATGATGTGGTATAATCTTAAAGTTAATAACCTTCAACCCACACATTTGCGATTTCATGATGATGTGGTCTTACGCCACCATTAACCGATTTCAAGTGACTAACCAAGGGTGCTGGGGTTCGGGGGAACTATAGCAATGAAGTGGATGCAATTGGCTTTAGTAGAAACGGAATCATGGCATGGGAAGATGGTGTTGTCCTTAAACAAAAAGAATAAAAAAGTATGAAAAGAGAAGCTTCTAGATTCTGTACAATTTTTTCAAACTGTTGCCAATTTGAATAACTTGTCCAAACTGACAATGGTCCAAGTATGGTTGCCCATAATCCTTTTTTTCTCTTGGCACTTCAAATCGTGCTAGATTCATTTTACTCTCATTTAAACCACGGGATTTGAAAAGCCTAAATACCAAAGAGGCTAACCTTAAAACTAATAATCTTAAGTCTACATATTTGTGGTTTTGCAAAGATGTGGCATAACCTTGAAGATAATAACTTCAAGCCCATGCATTTGCAGTTTTGTAATGATGTAGCCTTATGCCACCATTAACCGATATCAGGTCACTAACCGAGGGTGCCAAGGTTAAGGGGGACTATAGCAGTAAAGTGGACACAATTGGTTTTGGTAGGAACAAAATCAAGTACAGGAGGGTGGTGTTGTTCTCAAACGAAAAGAATAAAAAAGTATGAGAGAAGAAGCTTGTAGATTCTTGCCCCCCTTTTTTTGGACCATTGTTAGTCCAAATAACTCGTTTGGAATGGCAATGGTCCAAATATGGTTGCTAGTTCATTAAAATGCTAAAGATTGCTATGTTTAGAACATATATTTATAACAAAATCTCAAGCATGAATCTTCATGCAACATCAAGTCTATCCACCATCATTAAGCAGATTATCTTTTGTTTTGCTAATTAATTATAAGAATAATTTCTATACAGTATTCATGATCTTCATGCTAATTAAACCTCTTACATTGTTTTACATTATTCATT